AAAACTAGATAAGAATAATCGATCAATCTGGTCACAATATAAGCCCCATTCTATTTATATTCTAAAGTTATTAGCTAAAGAAAAATAGCAACTTCTTTTTTAAGGATAAGATCGAGTAATTAGTCTCGTATTGTAATTTACATTAAGAACTGATTTGTTTTAAAGTTAAAATTATGGAATATGTTTATTAAATTTTGAAAACGAAAATGTAATATGGATATGAAGTTTACTAAATAGGAATATTATTGCTATCTGAATTTTGAGTGGATTAATTATATCAATAACTTCCTGAGTTTAATTTGAGGTTTAATAAAATTAAATTAAAACTTCTAAAGTATAACGAGAGTTTGCATCTTAAACCATAAAGAAATTAAATATAAGATTCTATCGCTTGCAACTTTTAGAGAGGCATAAATCTTTAGATAATCAATTTGCTCTTTTACAAAGTATTAAATTCAAGACCTTTTTGTATCATTTTTTAAGAAATATATAGTAAAAAATACAGTTTTAATAACTAAATATGTTAATTTATCACTCTCGATTGTCAACTTCCGACTCTATGCACAAATTCATTGAGAAGGAATCAAGTTATATATATATAATATTAATGAAGAAAGAAAAATAACTCAACCAAATAATATCAGCAGTGTACTAATAGTTAATTAAGGTTACACAATAAATCAGAAGAAGAGAGATAGAAAAATTTAGCAGGTTATACTAAAAGTAAATTATGATTTGTAAATAGATCATGAATATGGACTAATGAAGATTGTTACTAATTGATGCCTGATTTTATTTATAAGGAAAAAAAGAACTCTCAATTTTTGGATTTGATATCTAAGGATGAATCTTCAGATTTTAATGGTGGTCAAATACATTCTGAGTAGCATGAATGCTATAAAATTGAAATCATAAATAGAAATTTACATTCTTTTTGTCTCAGTGTCTTTCATAAAGCTAAAAGAAGTAGAATTAATGAATTATTAGAAGATAATATTTAGGTAATTATTATTTTAAAATAGTCAATTTAGATAAGAATCTTTAATTTTTATATTTTGTCATTTAGATAGTTAAAAATATCTTAAATCTCTTCAAATCTATTTACTCCCACAATTAGGGAATCGTTCATTTTAAATATTTCATAAAAATCCTAAAATGGAATATTTTTATCATAAATCAATTCAAGTTTAATACCCCTAACTAAATCAAAAATGAAAAACTGAAGTTCTCTTCATAAATTCTTGAAAACCCAAAAAAAAAGGTTGAATCTTTGTTTTCAAATATATTCCCTAAAGTTCCTTCTTTATTTTTTATTCGACGAATGGTTTTTCCACTAAATACATTTTCTACAGTGAATTCTAATCTACTATTTTCAATCATTCTAACACAAAGAAAGCTTAAAAAATAGTTATCAAATCATTCTTGCTTATTTAAAGAAACTATTTTCTATTTAGCTAATTTTTGTATGCTTAAAAATAAAATATAATAATATTATTGAAAAGTTATTAAATAAAATTCCTTAAATAAGTTAATGCAATTTGAGACCGATTGAAAACAACAAAAAAGTAGTAAGGATCTTCTCTGGTATTGAATACTTGATTATTTTCCACTTCTGATCAATAATGAAAATATTATTATTTTCATCAATTGAGGCTAGAAAATTAGTTTTAAAAAATATATCATAAGCCTTTTCGGTTTCAATTTCAAGTGAAAATGATTAAATATTTTGAATCATATGTAAATTTTACATTCTTCATCGCTACATTTTTTAATATAGCTAAAGTTCTATTTTATTAAATGTCAAATACTCTTAATTATGATCTCTGATAAATTTAACATTCTTCTGAGACTTTTGATTTTTCATAAATGACCAAAAATCTCAAATTTAGTGATATCATTAAATTACATTTATAAGATTTCTCTTTGCGCATAATCCTTTATCCTTCATTTAAATTTAATTTTTCTTCTTCAAATAGTTTTTATTCTTGAATCAAAACTAACTAGCGTATTTAATTATTTTGCATTTTTGAATATTAAATTATTAAATTATTTAAACAGTAATAAATAGAAAGACCTTGAGTATGTTCAACCTATACTGAGAAAATTTTCAGATGATTTTCTTGTTTGAACCCTGAGTTATAAAGATATTTTTTCTTTATTCAGGTAAGAGTTGAAAATTCTCGAATCCCTTTCTCTAAATTTTGATCTTTTACCCAACTTTTTTAAGGTTTATAGAACCTGCTACATCTTCTGCTTTCAAATTGTTCAGACCTCGAAATGAATCACTCAACACCCTCCCCACAAAGGTATGTTTTGATGAGTTTGATAATTGTGGGATCAGAATCCACTCTTTTGAAATTTATCTTCCTCCCAGATTCAATTCAATTAATTCTCAATATGTCAATATACTCATCCAGTTCCCCCTCCATCTATTCCAAATAACTTTGAAATGAAGGTTGTGCGAAAGAACGTAACATTTCAAGATACACCTATGACATCATAGGATTAACAGGTAAAATAATTATTTTTCAAATTTCCTTTCATTTAATAAATAATTTTCATATTAAAATAAAATAATATATATAATGATAAAAAACTTAAAATAACAATTTTTAGTAGATAAGTATTAAATTTTTTCCAATTTATTATTATAATATACCCAGCAAATAAAATTCTGAAAGATTTATCCGCTTCTTGATTTAATAAATGTGCTTTTTTATTGTATTCATAATTTCATGTTCTTTGATGGATGCTGTAATAATAGATAATTGAAATTTTTTAATTCATACCTTATCATTTTACAATTTAAACTAATTCAAAAATAAATTTTTACTCGTCCTTTTTAGATTTGCTTCAGCACATTCAGTACACAAAATCGGCAGGAGAAGGTGAAAACGAAAAAATGTTATTTATTTTAAAAATATCCAGCAAATACCAATAACTAATAGCTGCCCAACAAGATATTTAAATTTTTACAAATCATCCTTACGATTTTATTCAAACCATAAATATATCACATGATGAAGTTACTAATGAAGTTTACACATATATTTATTTAAAGAATGATAAATACAGGCAAGGCTTTTATAGTTTAATATGTTTACCTCCCCAATCATCATTAATTCTATAAATTAAAACACCTAAGATTCTGAAAAAGCATTGTGTGATTCAAATTGTAGTAGATTACATAAGTCTATTTTCTCACAATAGAGTTGCAAAGTAATTAATTGATTCCTTCTGGCCTCTCAATTAACTCATTTAAAAACAGTACTTTAAAAGGTATTACATTCAATTCTTACTTAATCTGAAACATTTGATTCTTGATCAAGAGATTGGATAGGTGAAGGAAGAGATGGTATTATTTTCTTAATGATTAAAAATCTAAATGAAATCCTTTTATTTAGCCTTATGTTTAAGATGTTTTCCTTTTATGATTAACTGCAAACTTGGATAATACAAATAGTGATTTATATTGGTTAAATAAGAAACTAAACCAAAGATGAAAGTTTTCAAATTTACAAAAATTCATATGAAGTTCTCCTTTAGAAAAAGGTAAGTAATTCACACTCCAAACACTATTGCTCATAAATGCCTTAGCCTTAACAGCTCCTAAAATCAGCTAAGTCAATAATATTTCTCAAAGAATTGCTTAATTTCAATTGCCCAAAAATCAATTTGCATATTTTAATATTGGAAAGATTAAGTGTTTTAGCAAATTTATCTTAATTAGATCATTTAATTTAATAATATCAATGGTTTAATTGTACAGTACTAATCTTTAGAAATAACTATTAAATCACTTTAACACCTTATTTATAATCAAAAACAAAATATTGAATTTGAAAATAAATCCACTCTCTTTTGAATATCCATTAAGATATCTGAAAGTAAAATAAGTTTATACAAGTTTTATTTTTCTCATTTAAT